GCTAAGTCAATAACCAGTCACAAAAAGGCACATACTGTGTGATCCCAGTTACACGGGGTACTTAAAGTAGTCAAAATCGTACTGACAGAAAGTAGAATGGTGGTTGCCAGGACCTGGGGAAAGGGATAGAGTTACAGTTTTGCAAGATGAAAAGAATCCTGGAGGTGGAAGTTAGTAATGATTGTGCAATAATAGGAATGGACTCAATAGCACTGAACTATACAGTTTACAGGCTTCCCTGGTAATTCAGCTGGTAAAGAATCCACCTGCAATGCCCGAGACCCTGGTTTGATTCCTGGGTCGGAAAGATCCCCTGGACAAGGGATATTGGCTACCCACTCCATATTCTTGGGCTTTCCTATTGGCTTTGATGGTGAAGAATCCACCTGCAATGCAGGAGACCTGGGTTCGGCCCCTGGCTTGGGAAGATCCTCTGGAGGAGGGAAAGGCTACCCACTCCAGTATTCTTGCCTGGAGAGTCCCATGGACAGAGGAGCCTGGTGAGCTACAGTCCATGGGGTTGCAGAGTCAGATACGACTGAGCAACTAAGCATAGCACACATCCGGTTTAAAAATGATTAAGACGGGGATTTCCCTGATAGTCCAGTGACTGAGACTCCATGTCCCCATGCAGGAGGCCTGGGTTCAATCCCTGGTCGAGGAACTAGATCCCACATACTGCCACTAAGACCCAGCGCAGCCTAATAAATAATATATATATTTTTAAAACAACAATTAAGATGGTAAATTTTATGTTACTTGTATTTTACCACACACAAATAAGGATTGGAAAAACACCACACACTATACTTCTGCTCTTTGTAACAGAAGACAAACTTTGCATAAATGGTGAAGCAACATAGATTAGTAAATATTTTGCACATGTATTTGCAAATCTACCATACACAAATACAGGAGTGATTCCTATATATCTTGTAGAAGAACAATATTATTCACATAGGAACTCATTTTTGCCCAGAGTTTTTATAATTTTTATGTAATGTAGAGAAAAGAGTTACTAATAAAACAATGCAGAAAACATAAAAAGTTGATGATAAAAGCTTGCACTGATAGAAGGAAATAAGTTGTCTGACTCAGCTAAAACATCCTACTCCCAGGCTACAAGTAAGTAAGAAACAGAAAATGGACTATGAAACACTCAACCTGTTTAGCAAAGAGATTCAGATACAGGGATGAATAGACAAGACATGCTTTCATTCAGATTGAGGTGTTGGATTTACTGAATTCACTGGTGGCTCAGACAGTAAATACTCTACCTGCAATGTAGGAGATTGTTGTTCCATCCTTGGGTTGGGAAGATCCCCTGGAGAGGGAATGGAAACCCACTTCAGTATTCTTGCCTGGAGAATTCCATGGCTAGAAGAGCCTGGCCGATTACAGTCCATGAGATCACAAATAGTCAGACACTACTGAGTGACTAACATACTCTTAGGAAATTTGGTAGCCATTGTTGGATTTTATAATAAAGAGAAAGACAAACAAAGGAAAGGTCAAAGAATCAAGGGTACAAGAAAAACAACAAAACTTTAAAAAAACAGGAAACGTTGCTGAATACAGACTTAGTTGGTCCTGATGTGTAAATTTGAGTTACATTTAATATTTTAACTTTTTAAAGTCTGCAGGCATTCATAAATTGGGCTATAAGAACTCTGAGATCCTGTCCACCTGTGAGTTTAATATTCTAAATTTCAGTTGCCTTTTGAAATTTGAATTTGCATTCTAACCCTTCTTACCAGGGAAATAGCCTGTAGCTTTTAAATTTTTTTTAACTCAATCTTTCAGGAGTATATCCAGGCCTTCTTTCTTTTATGGAGTACCCACAACAGTATTTCTAGGTACTAAACCACAACAATAATGTTTATGGCATGTAGTGTGTTAGCCTCTCAGTCGTGTCCAGCTCTTTGCAACCTCATGGACTATATATCCCATCAGGCTCCTCTGACCATGTAACTCTCCAGGCAAGAATACTAGAGTGGGTAGCTGTTCCTTCTCCAGAGCATCTTTCAGACCCAGGGATTGAACCCAGGTCTCCTGCGTCGCATGCAGATTCTTTACTGTCTGAGTCAGCAGGGAAGCCATGGTATATAGTGAGATCACAAAAAAGAATTAGATACCTTGTCTGCCCTCGAGGGCCTTACTATCCATATAGCAAAAGTAGAGAGGTGAGCAGGTAATTCCTTTATTTTAAAGGATAAGGAGGAGTGAGGTTAGAAAGTGGGCTAAAGATGTTCCCAGTGGGAGGAATTTTGAAAGTGCCCAAGTAAAACCTGAGAAACAAGAATGTGCAGTGCCTGCAGAAATTGCAGGTGGTTAAATATTCTTGGGGAGAAGGGTGGTGAGTGATTGGGCGCTATGGTTAGGAGAAGCTACATAATTAAGGACTCTATTTGGCATGCTAAGGAACTTGGACTTTATCCTGGAGGCAAGAAGTCAATTGAGGACTCCAATGAGCAAAGTAACAAGATAAAGTATGGGTTTACAATTAATCTGCGGATCAGGTGGAAGTGTGTCCAGACTATTAGAAGCATGTAGGGTACCTGGAGGGCTTCCCAGGTGGCACTAGTAGCAAAGAACCCGCCTGCCAGCGCAGGAGACGTAAGAGACTTGGGTTCAGTCCGTGGGTAGGGAAGAGCCCCTGGAGGAAGGGAATGGCTACCCACTCTAGTATTCTTGAGAATCCCATGGACAGAGGAGCCTGATGGGCTTCGGTTCATAGGATCGCAAAGAGCCGGACACAACTTCACACACACACGCAGGGCAACTGAAAGAGTGTTACAGTAATCCTGGCGCAAGTCACGCTGCCTTGGGCCAGAGCAAGGACTGGGGGCCCTCAGAGGCAGGGATAAAGCCCGGAGATACTGTCTAAATGTGGTGAAGGTAAACACCCCAGGAAACTGCTTGGTCTGGAGAGGGATCGAGCAGATAGTTTAGTAACATTTTTCAGGTAGTGTTTTCTTGCTTAGTCAGGTGTGAAACCCACCAGTGCAGAGTGTCCCTCAAAGAAAAGAGAAGAGAGAGGAGGGCAGGAGAGGGCCAGGGGCACCTTTGGTTAAAAATCAGAGCTATGACTCTTCACCGGCCAAAGAAAGAGGACCAGTGCGGGGGGGGGGGAGAAGCTGGGGGAGTTGAGAGCGTAGCCTTTATCTGGCAGGGAAATGACTCTCAGTGGGAGCAGGATCTCAGTTCTGAGATCAGAACTGAAGAAGAAAGTGTAGGAACATAGACATGGACAGGTGGGGATGGAGGGAAAGGGACTAGGTTAAAGAAATTCTTCCTTCTCCCCTTTCACCACCACTGCCCTTGCCCCAGACCTGTCCATCTCAAGCAGGTGATGAGAGAGGGCTGGTGAGAGAAAGATAAAAAAGATCAAGAGCCCTATCCAGGGAAGAAACGGTTTGTTTGTCCTGGTATTAATGGGCACACTGGGTTATTTTCTTCCCAGCACGGTTGCCAGATTGAACAAATAAAAATACAAGATGCCTAGCTAAATTTGAATTTCAGCTAAGCAATGGACATCTTTTTAGTATTTCTCATGCAATATTTGGGACACACAAACTTATTTAAATTTATTCTCAATACTAACTTTTAAAAATTATTCTTTGGTTTTATAAAATTTGAATTTAACTGGGCATTCTGTGTATTACCTGGTAACCCTATCTAAGAGCTTGAAAAATAAGATGTGAGGCTGATGACCTAACACTTAAGGTTGAGGTTCACTATGGAAGTCCTCTTCACTTATTAATACTTACTTGCTTTATAAGCATGACTCAGTGTCAGCAACAGACAAACACATGCTCACAACACAACAATAACTACAGGCAAGACTGGTTAGCATGTGACTGCTGAGCTGTTTCTTTCCCACCTGCTCCTGATCCATTTCCAGAAACATCCCCCTTCATCTCTAACTCTGGAAATCAGTGTTTCCTAACAAGTGAATCATCTGTTAGGTTTCTGTTAACCAAATTTGAAAAAAATTAATCATTTCTTTTACACTATCCTAAACTAGCTACCCTGACAGTAGCTAAAAGTAGGGTAACCAACTGCCCAGGTTTTCCCAGAAGTGCAGTTTTTTTTTTTTTCTCCAGGATTGAGGATTTTCCTTTTTTTAATATATATTTATTTTTATTGATTTACTTGGCTGCACTGGGTCTTTTTTTTTTCCCCAGGATTGAGGATTTTCTTTTTTTTAATATATATTTATTTTTATTGATTTACTTGTCTGCACTGGGTCTTTGTTGAGGCATACAGACTCTTAGCTGTGGCATGTGGGATCCAATTCCCTGACCAGGGACTGAACCTGGGCCCCCTGCATTGGGAGTGCGGAATCTTAGCCACTGGACAATCAGGGAAGTCCTGGGTTTTCCATTTTAACACTGGAACTAGCCCAGGCCAAGCAGGATCTACCTTGACCACGGTAGATGCCTTTAAGCCAGTGATGTCTCCATGTTGATTATGAAACTTTAATTCTCATAGGAGAATTATAGTTTTTCTCTTCCGAAAAAGTTATCTTCATTACTTAAATTCTCTTTTATATAAAAAGTAAGAATTTATAAGAAGAAAGTTCATTTTTATATATTATGCTATATTACATTTTGTAATGTAAGAACTGTCCTACTGTTCTTAGGACATTCTTACTGAAAAAGTATGTCAATTGTAAGATTATATTTATTTCCATGTTAATTAGTTGTGCCATTTTTAAATGATTGGGCCAAGGAAAGAGTTGATCCTTATATATAGGTTGACTTCATCCCTTATATACCAATTTGGAGATATCCTGTGATTCACGAATAATACAGGATGACAAAAATACATACGTGTGTGTGTATATATTTGTGTACCAAATGCAGAATAAAAATGACTGACTACCTGTCTTACTTTCAGAGCTCAAAAATCTTAGTTTTGTACCCTGAAGTAAATTAACCTCAAGCTCAAGGAAACTTGCATTCCATTGGTTCAAACATATCTTTACTCAGGGCAAAACTAAGACAACATAATTTTGGAGCCATGTTTAGATCCATTAAACCTTCATTATGATGGCAATGTTAAGGTCCTGATTTACAGTTGTCGAAGAAGCTAGCTGCCAAACCAATTCTCCTCATCTTACTTAATAACAAAACTGATTTTATTCCAAGTAGCAATATGACCAACAAAAGAAGTCCTTTCACAGCTCCCAACACAGCCAGATATGGAATTCAGAAAGGATCCTTAATAGAGGAACAGTCAGCTTGCTTGCACCCTTCTTCCTTTCTCTTCTTTCTTTTGCTTCCTGTCCGGGACTCAGACATGGTGGCTAGAGCTTCAGCAGCCATCTTGGACCATGAGAAAAACTTGAAGATGGAAGCCGGCTACAAAAGGCAGAGTAGGAATATAGGAACAAGCTGGGTCTTGGATGACTCTGGCATTCCCCTATGATATCTCAAGTATCCATCCTCGAAGTTCTTTTACCTGAGAGAAAAGCAGTTAAAGGATTTGATATTTTTGGACTTCTCTGGTGGTCCAGTGGTTAAGAATCTGCCTGTCAATGAAGAGGATACAGGCTCTATTCCTGGTCCAAGAAAATTCCACATGCCGCGGAGCAACTGTGCCGTTACACCACAACTACTGAGCCTGTGGGCCCGGAGCCCAGGCTCTGAAGCAAGAGTCGCCGCAGCAATGAGAAGCCCATGGATCACAATTAGAGAGTGGCTTCTGCTTGAACACGGCAATGAAGCTTCAGCAAAACCAAAAATAAATTTCGTTAAAAAGAATTGGTTATTTTTGTTGGTTGTTACTAGCTGCCAAATGTTAATCCCATCTGATACAACTGTTATATAAGAATATGACTAAAGGTGATGAAACCCCGTTAATAGAGGAGCCTGATGGCCTACAGTCCATGGGATCACAAAAGAGTCGGATATGACTTAGCAACTAAACAACAACAAATTGTTTGGATTAGTAATAACAGTAAAACTCATCGAGTGCTTGCTATGTGCCAATTTCTAGAATACTTACTATACATTATTTCATTTAATCATCATAAAAACTCTGTGAAGTATCACATATACTCCATTTTTCATATGAAGAAATTCAGCTCAGAAATGCTAAGTAACTTGCCTAAGATTAGGAACTAGAAGGTATAGGTACTAGGACTCAGCTTGAGACAGGCTGACAAGACATCTTTAGCTCTAAATTTACCAAAGGTGAAAGGAATGCAATCCAGGTAACAGAAAGTGAAGAAGATTTTATAATTTTCAACAGGTCAGTTATTCATCTATTATTATTATTGAATGTTTATCTTGAGCTTTGCTCTTTAATAGAAGCTGATTATGGAGAAATGAATTACATCTTTTCATCTTTACAGCTCCTTGGTTTAGAGGAAAAGAATCTACCAAACATTTCCATACATCTGTTTAATTATCGTAAGGAAATGATGAAATAGGGAAGGTTTCCCTTCAGAGCCCTCACAATCCTCATCCATCTTTTCCTTACCTCTAATTGTCAGTAGGGCTGTTGCTGGATTATGCAATTCCAGAGAGCTCTATTCATGTCCATAGTCATCACTGACATACATTTATTACTATGATTTTCTGGCATATGGCAATAAATGTCTTGAGAAAGAGTATTTTATAATAAGTTGCACATGAACACTATATGAACTCAGATCCAAACTGGTTGTGTGCTGCTCCAAGCACCCTAACTTACAATCTCATACCCAAAGCACCCTGAAAAGCACCCCAACAGCCCCAGTTCTAGTCATGAACTAACCTTAACCCAATGAGCAATGTCCCAGAGAGCTGCCAGTGTCTTGGACTTTAATCTTCTCATCTCCATTCAAGGTCTTTCAGCTGTCAAGGCAATAAACCCCATAAATTAAGGTATGATAGAATTGGAAATCAGTCTTTGTTCTTGGTTTCCTTTCTTTTCAAGTTGCACTTGGACACTCAAACTCTTAATTCATAGATGTGTGTATTTATGTGTGTGAGAGACAGAGAGGAGAAGGAAGAAGAAGAGGGAGACAAAGGGCCAGGAGAGGGAGAAGAAGAGAAAGAAAGGAATAAATTTTAGTAAAGCAATAGCCAATTAAAAATGCAGTCTCTTACTATGACCTCTAGCCCATCTCCATTTTATTCTCCAGATGAAATTCTTTTTAATACTTACACTTTTTTCTGGTATTTAACTCCATGTTTGTAAATAATCTGCTTATACTGGTATGTCTTATTTATCAATTTCAAATTTATTTATTAATATCCTGCTATGGTAAATGGGGATTTACATCTCTTATACCACCAATCCCACTTCCCTTACATCCGCCACTCTCCCAATGTCGTTACACCACAGTTTTAAGTTAAATCGATATTCAGTGTTTATATTTTTATGACTATGTCAGTGTTGATACTTCAGAATCATGTTTCTTCCTGTTAAACACTATTTTCCCCAGCATTAATAATTGCCTCATTTTTTCATTTATTAACATTAATATTGGTAACTTCCTAGTGTCTCAAGAGTCCTTGATATGTTGTCCATCTTATCTCTCAAATATCAGTGTTTTTCAAGTACTCAAACATGTAAGATAATGTTTCTTTTTTTTTTTTTTTAAGTTTATTTATTTATTTATGGCTGTGCCAGGTCTTTGCTGCTGCTCATGAGCTTTTTCTAGCTGCTGTAAGTAGGGGCTAGTCTCCAGTTGCAGTGCAAGGCTTCTCACTGCAGTGGTTTCTCTTGTTGCAGGGCGTGGGTTCTAGGGTCCCCAGGCTCAGTAGTTATGGCTCAAGGGCTTAGTTGCTTCGAGACATGTGGGATCTTTCTGGGCTGGGGATCGAACCAATGTTCCCTCCATTGCAAGGCAGACTCTTAACCACTGGGCCATGACAGAAGCCCTCAGATAATATTTTATTTCTATTTTTTTTTCCAGGAGGCTCCCCCATTCTCTTGCTCTAATCTTGATTTATTGTTGAGTATGAGAGGTACTGGAGTGGGTTGCCATGCCCTCTTCCAGGGGATCTTCCCAACCCAGGATCATACCTGTGTCTCCTGTGTCTCTTGCATCTTCTGCATTGCAGGCGGATTCTTTACCACTGAGCCAGTGGAGAGCCCATCTGTGCTCATACTTGATCATCAGTTTGTCTGGGTGGAAATCACTGTCTCACAAATGTTTGAAGAATGGCTTCCTTGTCCTTAGGATGCTGGATAGCTGCCACCAAGTCTGATGCCTTAAGGTTCTAATTCTCTTGCATGTAAAGACACTTAAAAAAAAAAAAAAAGACATTTTCATGACTCCTTCATGTCTGGTGTTCTGAAATTTTATGACTATATGCTCTGGTTTGGATCTTTCTTCATTTATGTTGCGGGTATTCAACAGGATTCTTTCAATCTGAAGACTTATGGCCTAAATTCTGGGAAACTTGCTTGTTCTCTTTTTCTTGAACTCCTCTTTCTTCAGATATTCTCCTAGATTGATCCTTATGATCTATTACATTTTTTTAATGAAGGGTTTTTTTTCTTTGATATTTTGTCTTTTTTTTTTGGTTAGATTTTCTTAAATTCATTGTCCGTCTTTTCTATCAAAGATTTTATCTACCATATAGTTAAATTTCTAAGAATTCTTCTTCACCACTTTTCATTTCATCCTGTTTTTGTTTTTTAGAGATGCTATATTTAGGGGGATGTTAGGTATGCACTAGGCTCTTTATACTTGGGCATCAGGTCAGGAAGGGATGGTTGGCAGCCTTCATTGGAGAAATATGAGGAACTAATGTACTAACACACTTTCTATGATCACCAGGAATGATGTACTATCAGAATTCCTGCTTCTCAAAGCAGGTTCAGGACTGTCCTAATTTACTTAATGGAGCAACATTTAAAAAATTCAGATACACCTGAAAAGTGTGGTTTAGGTGACAGCAGATATTAGACAATGTAATGGACCAAGAATGATTTCTAACCAGACAACTTTCTTATTTTGAGTGTATTAAGCTCTCACCTATACTAAAAGATCAATTTAAACTTTATTTTTGTCTTCTAATTTTCTGGCTATGGGTTCAGAAGTAACTTGGGATGCTTCAGAGATGATAGCTACTTGCTCAGCTTTTTCTATTTTGATACTATGCACAGTAATAATTGAGATCCACAAACTTTATCACACAGAATTACTTCCCTCAGTTTCTTTGTTTATGACTCTTTTTCTTTACTGAGCTAAATTTATACTTTGTAGTTCTTTTCATTTTTTTGTTTATTTTTTAACTGTTTTCTGAAAGACCGATCAAGTAGCCAAAAATCTGTGCACCTTCTCCAGCTGTCAAATGAGCCTCAGATCCATCTCTCTCTCTTTTGTTTACCCCCAAAAGGATCCAACTGATTTAACGTCCCTTCATGAAGTTCTACAACAGTTTGGGTGAGGACAAATATCACAGCCTCACCGTTCCCTTCAGCTGGTTGGCCCACATTTCTTTAGAGGTGGAATTGCATTTGATATGAAAACAGGGGCAATTGGAATGTTGTTGAAGAAGGGAGAAGCAGTCCAACCCCTTCTTTTGAAGGCAGTAGAAGCTGGTGTGTACTGATTTACAGACCCAGATTTTAGACCTGTCTCGGCAGTGGCTGAGCCATTTCCTCTCTCAGAGTCGCTGCCCTGAGTCACTGCCTAGCTGTTGCTAGGTGCTCGTTTGCCGAGTAGTAACACATTCCGCCCCCACTTCTCCACACAGAGTTCTGGGGAATTGCCCCAATTTTCAGCTCTACTGAGGTGGTTTGTGACTCATCCTCTTTTCTCTCTAATGACCTTTTAGAGCAACAAGAATAATCCCTGTTTTTATTTTATTATTTTTTGGTCATTTCTCTTGTAAGGCTCTTATTTATTCGAACACAGGTATAATGAAGTCTAAAATCAATAACTATGTTTTGTATACCATTTATGTAAAATTGGCTTTCTCTTCTGCTTCCTAGATAAAATGTTTTCTTTCCATTGGGGGAAGAAGAGCAGGAGGATCTTATTTCCTGTGGGACTGTGGACTGCATTTTCCCATTAAATGCTATCAGTAATCGTCCAAAATAAAATATAGAAATGCAATCTTAGGCATTCTATTTAGGGTCTGTTTATTCAAAACTTTTATGTACAGTATCTCTCCTAGAATGACAAAGATTACCAGTGCAAGCAAAATTCCAATATGCAATTTGTACATTATACTGCAATCTCAAGTGATTTTTTTTAAAAAAAGATATCTTAACCCCAGTATCTTTGTTTTATTTTATTGTTACACTTTATTATTTTTTTTTATTTTATTGTTACACTTTAAAACCGTTATCATAACTAAATATCCTCACCTTTGAAAAAACTTCCTGGCTAACATTTTCTGTTAGAGCTCTTGGCATACTTTTTAGCATTTTAACCTCCCATAAAGTGGAGAAACCCTAGTGAATGAGCCATAGAAAACATCTTTGTGTATGTACTTAACTCACATCACCAGCCCTGGAGCCAACAGGATTAGAGAATTTTAAGCAGCTCACTTTTGTTGGAACATAAGGTGTGAAGGTGGGAATGGCAGAAGATAATGTAGGAGAGAGAGTGTTAAGGAGCTTACATTTTGTTATTTTAGAGTTTGTCGTAGGTCTGGAGAGAAAGACTGGGCACAATCTAATTTTAGGTAGTTTAAAATCTAATTTAGAGCAAGTCTCCTAAATTTAAAAAACTATATTTCAAGCAATTCAGAGGAAAGAGTATAAGGCTCCAGTATAGTTCAAGAGAGTTTAAAACTCCAGAAATATTTCTCACTATATAATTCAAATGGTACTGGTAATCACAGTGAGTAGATGCTGCCCACTGTAGTGTTATTGATTTAGAACTTTCACGAGTGGGTAAAAGGGGAGATATCAAAAGAAAAAATAAGATTCACACTGAATATTTTTTGTAATTTCACATTTAAATTTTATGTGTATATATTTATTTACATATATAATTTTTGTATATAAATTTATATATATATGTGATATTACACACACACATGCATGTGTATATATGTCTATGAGTGGGAAAAAAAGCATATAACTCTGGAATAGGCTTCCCAGGTGGCGCTAGTAGTAAAGAATCCACCAGCCAATGCAGGAGACATAAGAGATGCAGGTTCAGTCCTTGAATCGGGAAGATCCTCTGGAGGAGGACATGGCAACTCACTCCAGTATTCTTGCCTGGAGAATCCCATGGACAGAGAAGCCTGGT